GATGTTTGTTCATAAGTTGGACATGATTCATTTTAAATAGCTCAGGCTGATGAATATCCACAGGAGTCAGAGGGCAAGGTGCCCCCCAAAAAAGGTAGTTGCCCCAGTGCCCCTACAGGATTGCCTGGTAGGCGTTCCTGGTCACTTTTCTTCTGAACCGACTCATCAGGCAACAACTTTTTTCCACTGCTCCCAACGCCAATATTTATGTTCCCTAAACTGAAACCTTCTCATTGGCTTCACTGATAAGTGTTTTCTTAAGGCCGTACATTGCATGAAAATGTTCTTACATTCACTATTAAACCAAACTTTGAATTCTACTGTTGATTTCTTACAATTTGATTTAATCAAATCTGTGTCTCACAGATGATTCTTCACCATTATCCTTCCAGGTTTTATTACTGCGTTGAATAGCTGTTAGGCCAAACCGCAGATCAATTCATGTTTAAGCCACTCGCCTTTATCTACTACAAAACGCTGTCAAACCTAAAATGAGGACGTGGGCCCAGCTAGTAAACCACCTGTTGTCAGCTGAAACATATGAATCACTGCACTGATAATAGATCATTCCTTGGTTAATTCCAGAATTTGGGTTGGATATATGTTTATATAATTTTGTGCCTTAGTAAGTATGAAATTAAGACAGCAGACACATTAATCATTTTTGCTTCATGAATTATTTTATTGCTATTGCGCTGCACACATTCACCCAAATGATAGATGTCACTTTGGCATAAGCTGAGGTAAGAAGTCCCACACACATAAGAAAAAACATCCCTTTGCAGCATTGTGTAAAGATGCACAGCTTACAGCACCACTGAAATATTCTGATTTGTTTTTGCATGAAAAGCCATTCCAAGCCCTGTTGTCACTTTATGAAGAAACGTATGCATATATGTCCTCTCCGCTCCTTTAATTGCACCTTTAAACCTCCAAGTTCCTTATTTTGCTGCTGATGTCGCTGAGAAACCTTTGCAGTGTTTTTACAGAGAGCTGCCCGATTCCTATTTCGCTCACAAATGTTTAAGAGAAATAGAAAAAACAAAAACTACAATGGAGCACCACAAGCCTTTACGAATGCGAACAAAGAAAAGAAAACATTTCCAGAAACACTGCTTGACACGAACACATTCACGCACAATTTTTAGGCAAACGTTCAACCTGCCGGGAAGCTGCTGTTACTGCTCACTCTTCCAGAAAGCACACAAACTAAAAAAGATTATTATATATAAAAAACAAATTTAAAAAAATCTGGATATTTAATTTAAATAAATTTAACTTCGTTTGAATTAGTTTCACATTTTCATTCACATTGATTCACAGTTTGCGGATATCTGCCTGTGATGGATTGGACCAGCTCAGGCACACTTCTTCTGGCACCCTGTCAGCTGGGACAGGCTTGAAGCCCCATCGGTGACTCTGACTGATTGAGCTGACATACTCTAACGCTGCAGACAGAGGCATGACAGTCTCAGTCAATCAGTCAGTGTACTGGTAACTTTCAGACACAAGTTTGCCTTCTTCCACTTCCAACCGGATCAACAGGCGCTTCTTGGTGGCAGGGGACACTGGTGGGACAATAGTGGTGTCCGGGGCAATGGTGGGCGTGGTGGCGGCGATATCCCGGACAGGGGTGGGTTCGGTGGCTTTCGGGTTGGCTGGCACGTATCGCGTCGGCGGCAGGTGAACGTCTGCGTGCAAGTAAGGACTTGGATTGGTTGGTTTGTTTTTAGAAATCTGAGCAAAAAAGAGGTTTGATTTTAGTAGGATGAAAAAAATTAATCAAGCATGAGAATGCTGATATGTGTGAAATGGTTTGTGTTACTGGTTTGGCTCGCTTTTGATTGATTTTTCAATTTAGATTGATCTTTTTTATGTGTTAACGTTTTGCTTTATTTAACTCTCTCTGTTGGTTTCTACTGACATCACTGATTCACTGGATGACCAAAGTTAAGGCCTTTTTGGACACGTGAAACAGTCACATTGATCAGCAGTAATGCATTATTGGTTGACAAAGCTTTGTTAGTGGTTTATTAGAAAGAAATGAATCACTTTATATTCAGTGGTTTTGAAGCTAGAGCTCAGATCCCACACTGGGGCTTGGAGGACAATATTCTGCAAGTGTCAGAACTCCGTTTTTGCAATTTTAGCACCAACAATATTCACACTAAAAAAAGGACGAATAAAATCATCACTCATATTTTCACTCAACTATTCCTGAGTAAAGAACACGATAAGGGATCCTGAGCCAAAACTATTGGGAACCACTGTCTTTAGAAGATATAGATTTTATTAAAGGGAAATTTGTACAGAATTAGTAAAATAAAGAATAAAAATGTATACACTTATGTGTCAGTAGACAAAGGTTCTCACCTGATTGGTGCATTAGGTAGCTCATTCTGGAGATAGAGCAGACAGATATTAGTACAAGCACTACATTTAGATAATACGGTATTTTATTATTATTTTTTCTCTTTGGTTTTTCGATGCTCCCTCTGCTTACATACCTCTGCTCCTCGCCTTCCAGCAGCTTGCGGTAGGTGTTGATCTCGATGTCCATGGCCAGCTTGATGTTCAGCAGCTCTTGGTGATCACGGATCAGTGTAGCCAAGTCCTGCCTGGCCCGCTTCAAACAATCTTCCAGCAGAGCGATATTTTCCCGGGCCTTGTTGAGATTTCCCTCACCCTCTTTTCTAGCATCATCCAGGTCATTCATGAGGGCCTCTTCCTGATGGGAAAACAGAGATAAGATAACATCAGCAGTGAATAGATGGACAACGTGCTTGCTGACTAAATACTGTCCAAATAATGTATGTAAGGGGAACCAACCTTCCTTCTGAGACTCTCCAGGTCTGCTGTAAGCCTCTGGATGAGACGCAGCAAGTCTGAAATCTCCCTCTTTATGTCACGCACTTCTTGCTCGCGCTCTCCTACAGTTTGGACCAGAGATTCCATCTAAAGTGGGAACAGGGAGGTCAAATACTCAAAACATCTGCAGTAAGACTGAATGTCATATAAGCAATCATAGAAAAATACTTTTCTCTGGTTCCACTGCTCAGCCTCTTCCCTGGTGCGGGTAGCCATGGTAGCATATTGATTCTCAACGGCCTTGATGAACTGGTCCATGTCCAGAGAACGTCTGGTGTTGTCCTGTAGGACCACTGTTTTGTTCTGGATGCGTGACTCCAGCTCCTTGATCTCCTGCAGGGGCAGACATGGAGACAGTGAGTTATTGTGGAGACAAAGAAAAAGACCCACACACCAAATTTATTAGACCACCTGTCATTTGTAATTACCAATACTGTTAATTCACTAACTGGATTTTCATCACTTTCATTACCTCATCAAATGCGAGCCTGAGGAAGGCCATTGTTCTCATCAGGTCCTCAAGATCCACAGCCAGAGCTACTGCCTCCAAGTGGCCTTCGTCTACTTCCTGTAACACACACATTAAATATACATACATGTGCCTCCAGTGACGACACAGTGATGAATAAAACTTTAAAGCTCACAGTACCTTTTTAGACACAATAAAGTCGTTCTCAAGGTCACCTCTCTTTTGCAACTGGTCTTCATACCTGAAACCAATTCCAAATAAAAAGGTGAAAAACTGATGAAGTTACAAGTTTTATTGCAACAATCAACATGTTCAGTAAAATCAGCCGCCCTGTGATTTGCTGACCTTTTCTTGGTATCGTCCACCTCGTCCTGGATCTCCTGCAGCTCAGGCTGCAGTTTGTTCTGGTCGGATTTCAAGCTTTCAATCTGCTGCTCCAGCTCGTTCTCCAGCTGCTTCACAAGATACTCAACCTTCCCGTTGTAGTCCTCCTGCTCCCTGAGGATCTTCAGCTTTGTCTCAAGTCTTCTCTTCTCATTCTCCAGGTTTTTCACCTACAAGACACAGACAGACAACATGGGTAGGAATGCGTCACAACAACGTGTCTCTGTGGAATCCTTAATCTCCATACTGCACGTGATAATGGCGACTCACTGCTGACCTTAGACGTTGAAGTTTTCTCATTTTTCCACAAGGTGGCATCCTACGCGCAGGCCTATCTCTGATTATTTGCATATGAAGAAAATGAACTGCAGACAGACTTGTTTTTTGTGGCCTCCGGTAACATAATTGGTTTGAGCCGCCAGGAAACACTATTTATGGGCCATTTGCACTTTTTCAAATCGCAGTAAAAGCATTTAAAAAGAAAAATAATTATAAGTGAAAAATCCAAAAATTAATGATAATTAAAATGTAAAAAAAAAGCGCGCAGACGCAGACTTGTAACATTTAAATATAACAAAAACATAATCCTCGAAGACGGAGACGGAAGGACAAATAAACAGGATGTTTTTGTGTGTGTGCGTAATTTATTTATTTTGTCTCTGCTTATTCATCAGATTTGGATTTATTTGCTTATCATTCAACTGTTGTTACCCAGTTAAGCATTTTTCGGCATGTCATTATAAACCAAAAGGTTGCACTATGACAAATAAGAACAACAAGAAAGACAAAAACAACAACCCAATAACAACAACAACAACAACAACCCAATAATAATAATAATAATAATAAACCTTTTCAATGAGCGCGACGAACTTGTCATTGAGTCCAACCAAGTCGTTCTTCTCCTTGGATTTTCCCGATGAATCGACTCTGTCGGTCGGGACGCTTCTGAGCGGCTTCTTGCTGCTGGGGGAGTAGGACTGGCTGCTGTAGTCTCTTGGTTTGGACATACTGAAGCTTGAAGCGAAGAGCTGGAGTGTGGCTGAACAGGTGAGGGGAGAAGGCGCCTGCAGCCCTGCAGATCACCTTCTTTATAGGTGGACAGGTACAACCCCTCACCTGCCCCAAACTCTGCGTGCGTCCAATCACGAGAGGACAAGTGCGATATTAAATGGAAAGGTCAACGTGAAATACTTGAATTTCGACTTTAAACCAGTTTGTCCAGGAGCACCGGGGCCAATGGCGTCTCTGGGGGGCGGATTCGTGCGTAAAAACAAGTATAAGAACTACCTGCATCCTCCATCAGGCGCCTTAGACGCTCGGTGTCAGTGTCTGCTCTCTCCCGCTCTTTCATCCAGCAACGATCATCATGCCTTCAAACAGCGCTGCCAGCATGTTTGGTGGAGCCGGGGGAAAGGGTGCCAAGGCGTCCGTGTCGACCCTGGATGGGCTGCGCAAAGTGCTGGGCAACCAGACAGAAAAAGATTCGGCTCCCATCCATAAAGCTGCTGCCAAGCCCGTAGCCTCCCAGGCTCCGAGCGCCCCGGAAACTCCCGTCGCTCCCGGTGACGACAAGCAGACACTGCGGACCCTGAACAATCGGCTGTCCGGCTACCTGAACAGAGTGAAGCAGCTTCAGGAGGAGAACAACGATCTGCAGAAAGAGATCGACGACATCCTGGCCAAGAGGAAAGTACCTGAGGGGCGTGATTGGGATGGAATCCTGAAACCCCTGGATAACCTCAAAAGGGAGGTGGGTCAGATTTCTTTCTTTCTTTCATTCTTGGAATTAACATGCAAATAAATTTCTGACTATACTTTCTTTAATGTAATCTTAAATTCTAACTATTAATGCATATCCTTATTTGATCAGATCAAAGACATCACAGATGACAATGCAAAGCTGCTGCTGCAGATTGATAACAGCAGACTGGCAAATGAAGACTTCAAGAACAAGTGAGTGTGAATGCCGTCCAGACAAGGGCTCAGAAAATAAACGACAAATTTGTAACAGCAACGTAGCATTTGTAGCGTTTGTGAAGTTTGAAGCCAGGCTCCTTCTGTTGATGCAGGCTGGATGATGAGAATAAGGCATGCAAAGAATTAGAAAAGGACCTGGAGGATCTGAAGAGGGCCAAAGATGATACCAAACTGAGCTGCGACCAGACGAGGGAAGAGATCAAAATGGTTAATGATGAGCTTGAGCGTCTCAAGAGCGAACACAAGAAAGTAAGGAGGAAAACCAGCATGTTAAAAGTCACACGCTCAGCGCTGTATTGTGTGAAACTTGTAACTTGTGTTTGTCTTGCAGGAGGTTGATTCTCTGCTTGAGAAGATCAAGGACTCAGATGTGACAGTGGAGATTAAGTCCCAGGACAACAACCTGAGTGACGTTGTCCAGAATGTCCGCAGACATTATGAGAAAGTGGCTGAGAAGAACCTGAAGGAGGCAGACGAATGGTACAAAGACAAGGTATGGAAGATTAAAGCTGGGAATGATGTGCTTCCTTGTCTCAGTTTCTCTCACTGTTTTCATCATATTATTTCTCCCCCAGTTTGAAACCATCAAGGTGGAAGAGGCCCAGAATACTGAGGCCTTGGAGTCTGGAAAGAGTGAGCTCAAAGATCTCCAGAAACAGAAGCAAACTTTGGAAATTCAGATTCAGACCAAGAACAACAAGGTAAGCGCACAAGAGTGAATACAAGACTGTACAAATGCAGTACATTACAAAATCATGCAACACAATCTCAGTATCAGGACAAGATTGACGTTTCTCTTTGGTTGACACAGAAACAGAAAACATGAACAAAATATCAATATCGAGTATTCTTAAGGTTTGTTTTTCATTGGTAGCTGCGCACTGTGGAGCAAACCCTGAGAAACATCAAAATGGAGTATGGTCATCGCCTGGAGCCATCCAACAAGATCATTCTTGGGCTGCAGCAGGACCTCGGAGACGTGAGGGAACAGGTGGAGCTGCAGCTAGACGCCAACAAAAACCTGCTGTCTGTCAAGCTGAAGCTGGAGAAGGAACTCGAACAGTACCAAGAACTTCTTTCACGCTTATTTGATGATGTTGAAAGGTAAGGATGATGGCAGGTGCATCCTGTTTACTTTTAAACCTGTTGCGGGTATAAAACAGGTTTGCCTGCTGGCAGAACAGAGTGTCTGTTTAGTCATGTGGTGTTTTACCTCCATACATAATAAGTAAAACACAGCACTTTTACCCAAAGGACTGACATCTTATATGAAACCAGATCTTTAGATCTGCTGTCATTTGTTTAATTTAATTCAGTTCGTTATAGAAAATGAAAATAAATCTTTAATAAATTTGATTATTTGTTAAAAGCATTTCTGGCGAGGGCAGTTGGTAACAATGTAGCTATAAAATAAGTAGTTCAGAATGAAAACAGAGGCACTATTCTCTTTATATTTCCTGTATTGTTGCTTTAAGGTGAAACCACGTTGTGTTTTAATGTCTGTAATTTCCTGGTAAGGGCTTTTTTTAGCCTGCAAATCTTTACCTAATGTAGTTTTACGGTTCAACATTAAGGGAAAACACCATGTGAATGTTGGCACTGTGTGCTTATTTCCCACTTGGTGTGTTAGCTCTTTATGCTTTTCTTCCCTGACAGCGCAGAGTTTGCTTTAACGGATGCAATACCGCAAGGTAAGTTTGGGTTCTGCCAAGAAAAAACAAAGTTAAATCACAATGAACGTGTCTGTCACGCATCCACGTGCCGAGACCTGATCAGCAAGATTCATATCGCTAAACAAGACTTGGGTCAGTTACTGCCTATGATGCTTTCAGTTTGGTCTGACTCCACTCCAACAGGAAACAAAGTAAAGATACCAGAATCTGACCCTTGTCTTCCCTTTAGGACTGTAAATGTGAACAAAAATAGGAAATTACAGAAAAATAGTAAATCAAAAATCAAAATCTAAATGCTACCTTTGCATCACTGTGGGCTGAGTTAACAGTTTTGGGAAGTATGCTTACTGACTTTCTTGCCAAGAATTAGATGAGAAGGTAGTTACAAGTCTTACTTTAGTCCCTTAAGTTTAACTAGCAGACAGTTAGCTTAACTTAGCTTAGCAAAAAGAAAATAATGAATCACCTACTTAGATACATTCATACATATACATACATATATATATATATACATATATGTGTGTGTGTATATATGTGTGTGTGTGTACAAATAGTGTACTATGGAAGCTGATTTCTGCTACTATAAAAAAGTCCTCCACAAAATTTGGATTAATGTTCAGTTGGCCAATTCAAAATTTCAAGTTATTAAATTGAAATTTCAAGATACATAACTTCAAATTTTGAGGCATTATGTCAAAATGTTGAGATAGCTAACTTGAAAATTTGAGTCATCAAAATTTCAAAATGTGAATATTAAGTCAGATTTTTTGAGATATTAACCAAAATTCTGAGTTGAATTGATTTTGTACCTGAAAATTTGAAATTTTAGTTATTTACTTGAAATTTCAACATACCTCATTTAAAATTTCAAGTTTAGTCAAAGTTTTGGGATGCATAACTCAAAGTTTGAGTAAAGTTGAAATTTGAAATTTTGAGTTATTTATTTAAAAAAAAATTGAGACTCCTAATCTGAAAATTTGAGTGGTCAAAATTTCAAAACACTGAGTCATTAAGTAAAACTTTGGAGATATTAACCAAAAGTCTTCCCCTTTTTTCTTTTTTAGTAGCAGAAAAAAGCTTCCACAGTGTCACCCACTGATACTTTTGGTGCCAACACTAACTAGCATTAGGCATCAGCAAGGAAGAAAATAAGCACATTTCCCAACATTTCTAAACTACCTCTTTAAAGCTAGCCGCATCACTAAAATGCACTAGACCATTGCAATAACACCATATTTTAACTCTACATCTTAATCCAATGAATAATTATTTTCAAAAGCTAATCAATCACCATTAAACCAAATATTTTTGATTCTCAGCAAACTCATAAACAGGTAACAGGAACTAACAGACTAAAGGCATATTTGTAACCTCTAAAATATGTCTTTTTGTTTACAGGGCAACAAACTAAAGAAGATGACGTTCCGGAACAGGGTGAAATAATAAAACAAGAAGTAGTTGCAAAACAAGAAAGCGCTCCCTCTAATCAATCAGCCCCCCCAGAAGCTCCTGAAGTGGAGGAGGAACCCCCCATCCAGGCCGACTTAAATGCTAGTAGCAGGGAAGAGGCTGCAGTCAGCAGCTCTGCTAAAAAGAAGAAATCTAAAAAGTCCAAGAAGTCCAAAACTAAGAAGGATTCCTCCTCCTCCTCTTCTTCCTCCTCCTCTTCTTCTTCCTCCTCCTCCTCCTCTTCCTCCTCCTCCTCCTCTTCCTCCTCTGATTCCGAAAAGGAAGAAGAAAAGCCCGTAACTGAGGGTGAAGCGGTGACAGCTTGATCTTAAATGCTTTCTTTTTTTTCAGTTTGGTTATTTTCTTTTTCTGCTGTTCAGCAAATTAAAACTGCCTTCTGTACTGGTGCTGTCAAACCTGTAAAGTTACTCTGAGGTGCTGTTGTGGTTTATGTTCTCAGCTGTGCATGAAATAAAAAGATGTGGTTTAGAAAGACAAATGCTCAGCAGCGTCTTATTGATTTATTCTTTCATACATGAATTACTTGGCAGTTACTGCAGTGATAGTGCAGTCACTCAGAAAAAGAGGATCACAAATTGGCATAAGTTTGATCTTCACAGACTAAAGTTCATTTTTATTTCAAACATTTCAAACATGTGCCTTCACAATCATTACAAAATATCATTCCATTATTTGTTTGAAAAGGAGTAGGCAGAAGTATTTACTTATTTGTCCCTACCCCCTCAAGTTTTACCTCTCATTCATTTATTTATTTTTTTGTCTTAAATAAAAACTTTAGTCTTCACAGACTAAAGTTCATTTTTGGTGCCTTAAAACTCTTAATGTTCAGATATGCCCAGTCACTATAGCTTTAGCAACAAGAAACATCCTCAAATGTCTTTTAGAAAGTCCACCAATGCTTCAACCCAAAGCTTATACAGTTTGCCATAAGGTAGGACAGAAAAAGAGCAAAATATTCACATTTAAGAGCCATTTGCCTTCAAATGTTTGCTTAACAAGTATCCCTCTATCTCATCTGTGAAATTAGATGGACAAATAGTAAAAACAGATGTGACAAAAATAGATGGTTGAAAGAAATTCATCAAAAACAGTGTTATGAATACAAATTCAAACAAACTCACTTATATGTGCGTCTGTATCTGTTTTCATTTATTTACTATCATGTAAACTGATATTGTAAAAGAGCAGTCATTTAGTCTTTTTATTACCAAGAGCTTTGATACAATTTATGTTTAAGTTTGCATTTAAACATCATAATAAACCAAAAGTTTCATGAAAGGCAGAGATTTCTATGCTTTATTAAGTACACCTTGGAAGTACTGGGTTGGACCCCTTTCGTGTCCTCAGAACATCCTCAGTTATTCGTGGCACAGATTGAACAAGGTGCTGGAAAAAATCGTCAGAGATTCTGGTCCAGCATCTTACGGTTTGTCTGCTGCACGTCCATGATGTGAATTTCCTGTTCCACCGCATCCCAAAGATGTTTTCTTGGCTTTGAAGTGAAGTCATTATGTTGAAGAAAGCAGTTTGAGTTGACTGATGGAAGCAGTGATCAGGAGATGGGTACACTGTGGTCATAAAGAATGGACAATATTTCTCAGGTAGGTCGTGGTGTTTAAAGGATGTTCAGTTGGAGCTAAGAGCTCAGAAGTGCAAAGGTACCAAGCACCATTATCCATCCCCAGCAGCTTGAATGGACCCAAGCTTTAATGTTGTTTACACCAACCTATTTGAAGGTTTGAAACTAAATCTAGACTTATCAGACCAGACATACTCCAGTTTTGGGGAGCCTGTGTAACTCATGTTTTTAGCTAACAGGAGTGGAACCCAGTGTGGTCTTCTGCTGCAGCCCACCCATTAG